GGTTTTAGAGGACCTGAGGAGACCAGGTCTGGAGGTTTTAGAGGACTTCAGGAGACCAGGTCTGGAGGTTTTAGAGGACCTGATGAGGCCAGGTCTGGAGGTTTTAGAGGACCTGATGAGACCAGGTCCGAAGGTTTTAGAGGATTTGAGGAGACCAGGTCTGGAGGTTTTAGAGGATTTGAGGAGACCAGGTCTGGAGGTTTTAGATGACCTGATGAGACCAGGTCTGGAGGTTTCAGAGGACCTGAGGAGACCAGGTCTGGAGGTTTATGAGGACTTCAGGAGACCAGGTCTGGAGGTGTTAGATGACCTGATGAGACCAGGTCTGGAGGTTTTAGAGGACCTGAGGAGACCAGGTCTGGAGGTTTTAGAGGACCTGAGGAGACCAGCTCTGGAGGTTTTAGAGGACCTGAGGAGACCAGGTCTGGAGGTTTTAGAGGACCTGATGAGACCAGGTCTGGAGGTTTTAGAGGACCTGAGGAGACCATATCTGGAGGTTTTAGAGGACCTGAGGAGACCAGGTCTGGAAGGTTTAGAGGACCTGAGGAGACCAGGTCTGCAGGTTTTAGAGGACCTGAGGAGACCAGGTCTGGAGGTTTTAGAGGACCTGATGAGACCAGGTCTGCAGGTTTTAGAGGTAATGTTGTGTTGAGCCTTTCCACATGTGTAAGTTGCCCATAGAGTCACTAATGCACCCCCATACCATCAGAGAGGCAGGTTTTTGACCTTTGTGTTGATAATTGGACGGTGGACATGGTTCACAAACAAATTCAGATTTGGATCTGTCTTTGGTTTAGAGAAGACGGAGGTTTTTAACAATGTTCACGTATGGCTTCTTATTTGTATGATAGAGCTTTAAGGAGAGTTAGTGGAAGACACAGTGATCTGTGGAAGTCCAGAACAGAACCAGATCTGTTGAGATGAGCTGCTGAAATGAAATTAAACATTTTCTCAGATTTCCCCCAAAAGAAGATTTGTGTTTTTAGTTGAAACGTGTTAATTATGTTTTTTTTTCAATAAAAAATCGGGTTTTTGAGTTTTAAAACTCACTGATTTCTTCACTAGTTGTGAAACTGGTTGTATTTTTCCAACATCTTGTTCCACAAACAGAATTTAACAGCCTTTCTGTTTGAACGACWGCAAATAAACCTTTACTCAGTCTTGCAAGACAACCCAAAAGGACACGTCAAATAAAGCCGACAAAGCTGAAGAAAAAGCAGCAACATGTTTCTGTTTTGTCCCGCAGGACATCACCGCCGCCATGACGAACAGCAACGTGACGAGCAAGCCTCCTGTGACACTTCGGCTGGTGTTCCCGGGGAGCCAGTGTGGCTCTCTGATCGGCAAGGGAGGCTCAAAGATCAAAGAGATCCGAGAGGTTGGAGACAGTTTTTGTTTTCTGTCTGGAAGTTGTTTTCCTGCGAACAACCAAACAACTGCTAAAATCCAAAAGTAGCAAAATGCTAATTAAAAGCTGCAAAAAGCTAGCAAATAGAACAGATAAAAGTAGCTGAATCCTAATTGAAAGCCAAAGTAGAAATAAAATGCTAGCAAGACTCTAGAGTAGGGTGAATCTTTGGATGAAATTAGCAGAAGACTAGCTGAAAGTAGTGAAAGGCTAAATGCTAATTGTAGCAAACATTAGCTAAAGTTTTAAAAACTGCTAAAATTCAGAAATAGCAAAATACTAAGCTGCAAAAAGCTAGCAAATAGATAGAAGTAGCTAAATCCTTGTAACAGCTAAAGTAGCAAAAAAATCCAACTGTGACGCTAGCAAAGCATCAAGCCAAACTTAGCAAAACACTAGAGGCTAAAGTAGAAATAAAATGCTAGCTAGACTCTAGGGTGAACCTTTGGCTGAAATTAGCAGAAGACTAGCTGAAAGTAGTGAAAGGCTAAATGCTAATGTAGCAAACATTAGCTAAAGTTATAAAAACAACTGCTAAAATTCAGAAATAGCAAAATACCAGTTAAAAGCTGAAAAAAGCTAGCAAACAGAAGTAGCTAAATCCTTGTTAAAGCTAAAGT